CTCGAGTGTAAACAGAGGCGATCCAGGGCGGGCGAGTGTTGAAAGTTCTTGCCGTGAGTGAAGGCCTTTCCTGCAATGAAGGCTTGTTGCCCTTGCACGAAGCTCTGGCCGTGGGAGTTGTCTGACCACATTTTGTTTATTTATTTATCTATTTTTATTCTATCTTATTTTATTTTTTCTTGTATCTTGTTATTCAATTTTTTGGAGTTTCGTTTTCTCTCTCTCTTTCTCTTTCTCTTTTTCTTTCTCCTTTAGTTTTATATTTTGTTTTTATTCTTGTCTTCGTCTTTGTTTTTTATATCTGTTGTCTTCTTCTCCTCTTCGTCTTTCTCTAATTTGCTTCTTCCTCTTCTTCTATTCTTTCTTTGATTTTTTTTTCTTTCTCTCCCTTTCTCCTCAACCTGAAAAGATAAAATAAAATATTGTAATATCTTTTTAAATTTTCTTATCGTCTCGGGGGGGGGGGGATATTAGACAAGTAAAAATAGTGTGGGTGACATTTTAACTTTTTTGTTATCAATAAAACACAAACTTTTTAGCGAAATTACCAAGGAATCTTCTCTTGTACTTCACTCACGTGATCTTTAAACGCAGAGAAGAATAGTTTTAAAAGAATAGTTTGTTATTTAAGTGTGCGTGTTTGTTTGCTTGTTTGTTTATGTGTGTGTGTGTGTGTGTTTGCCTGTTTGTGTGTGTGTGTGTGTGTGTGTGTGTAAAGTGTGTTTGTTTCTTTGTTCATCTATGTTCATGAGTATGAGTGTGATTTTCTGTTTGTGTCCATTAAATTTATTCTCTTCTTCCTCTCCTCGCTACAGAAAAAAAATATCATTAAAATGTAAAGACTATAACAACACAGACTTGACGGGACTCCAGAAATATTATTTTGCAGTTGTCACAAAATTTAAATTGTTTTTGTTTCGTATTCCTAAAACTGCATTATTTGGTACACGGTGCGTGTGTGTGTGTGTGTGTGCGTACAGGTGTGTGTGTGTGTGTGTTAATGCGTATATGTGCTTTAATGTGTGTGTTTTATGTGCGTACAGGTGCATATGTGTTAGCGCGAGTATGTGATAATCCGCTGATCTTTACCATTATGATAGACACATATCTTTGTTTTGCTTCCTCTCTATATTTAACAATAAATAACTGAATAAATAAATAGATAAACAAGAAAATGAATTAGAATAAAACAATTCCCAAAAATATTCTTTCACCCCCCCCCCCCCCCACCTTTCCCCGCTAGTGCGCACGGTCGACCGAAAGTTAAAAATTACATTATGATTATCACGCGTCCGTTGCAGAATCAACATGCGTTAGAAAACAAAGCTGGATGTCAATTGCAACGGCCTGCTGATGAGGTGAAGGGGGGTGGGGGATTGAGGAGAGGGGGGGGAGGTACTGCACCATCCCAACCACCCCCTCCTTCCTCCCCTTCCCTCCTCACTCCTCCCTCGCTCCCCGATTAATTATTCTTGTTGAATATGCAATGATAGCATGAGGTATTAAATCATTACCATTTGCAACAGGGTTATCATTTCCAGCGATTGTGATGACTGCCTCTCGTTGGGCGGAGACAAGCTTGTTACGTTTGTATTAAGTCTTTACAGCAGAGTAATAGAAGGGAAACTAAATTGGGTATTTTGTTATGGCGGGAGGGATTGTGTTTCGCGTGGTTAGAATAACGGTTATGTTATCTCTGTCTAGATTTATATATATTGTTCTATCTCTATGTTTATCGATATATCTTCTCTATTCCTTTTTCTCTCTACTCTCTCTCTCTCTCTTCCTCTAGCTCGCTCACTTTCTCTCTCTCTCTCTTCTCTCTCTCTCTCCTCTCTCTCTCTCTCTCTCTCTCTCTCTCTCTCTCTCTCTCTCTCTCTCTCTCTCTCTCTCTCTCTCCTCTCTCTCTCTCTGGCTCACTCTCTCTCTCTCTTTCTATAGCTCGCTTACTTTCTCTCTCTGTCTATCTATCTCCCTTCCTCTATCCATCTATCCATCTATTACGGATAGATAAATAGATCTATCTCTATTTATCTATCTCTCTATCTCTATCTATCTACCCAGCTCTCTCACATCCCTCTCTCTCCCGCTCGTTCTACATTTTATTCAACTTCGCTGCTATTATCTGTCCTTCTATTCCCCTCACTACCTACATCCGTCTCAAAGTCTTCCTCCGTTAATGTCGAAAACAAAAATCGTATATATAAAAATAAGTATTTTTAAAAAACTAAACCACATAGATTTTCAGATAAAAGTTTCATATCACACATCACTGGACAGGTATCCCCATGGACTTTGTAATCATAACAATAGCTAAACTTCCTGCTGCAAATGGAGATAGATTGGTGGATGTACGAGTAGACAGCTAGATAAATAGATATGTATGTGCACATACACACACACACACACATTCATGTAGAGTGTATATATATATATATATATATATATATATATATATATATATATATATATATATATATATATATATATATATACATAT